TTCAGAGCACCGCGTGAGTGTACGAGGAAGGCGAAGACAGCGGACTCCGCTGAATACGGCCGAATACAGCGGAGTCCGTGCCTCCCGCGCGAGTTGCAAGGCATGACTACGTCTTCCGCTTCTAGCGTCAAGCGCCGCCCACAGGCATCGCCACCCGTCAGTCAGCTCGAGCGCCCCGTCCTCGCACCGCACCGCTGCGACGCAAAGCACCATGCCGACGCTCGGTGGGTCGGTGCCGTCCTCGATGCGGGAGAGGACCGAGCGGTGGCGCTGCACTCGCTCGCGCCGGTGCCGGTGCGCCAGCTGGCCCACCACCCCCGCGACGCTGAAACCGCCGCCGCCCAGCGCGTGCGCGAGGCAGCGCTGCTGGCTGGCGAGCTTCCACACGACCAGGCGGTGGTGGCTCTGCAGCCAGTCGAGCTCGAGCTCGGACGCGGCCCGCTCGCCGATCTCCGCGCCCAGCAGCACGCGTAGCGCCCGCCAGTACGCCGCGTCGGCGTCCGGGCCGCTCGCGCCCTCGGCGGCGGCCTCTCCCGAGCAGCGGTCGGCCACCACGCCAGCGAATCGGTATGATGCCGCCGAGCGGCTGGTCACGCCGCCCGCCTCCACGAGGGTGCTGTCGAGAGCGGTGCAGTCCCGCTGCGCGAGCTCGCGCCGCCGAGCGAGCTCGCGCGGCGACGGCAGCTCGCGGTCACCGAGCAGCTGCCTCAGGCTCTTGCGCGGCGGCGCCGCGCCCGGAGCGCTCACGGTCGCAGGCGCGGGCGGCGGCAGAGGCGGCGGCGGCACCGGGCCGAGCCGCCGCCGCTTCGGTGGCCGCAGGTACACGGCGCCGGGCTCGCAGAGCGCGATCATGGAGGCACTGTCCCCGTCGAGGATGGGGATCGGGGGCCGCGCCAACGGAAGCGCGGCGGGCCGCGGGTTTTCTTCTTTCTCGTGAGCCGGTGTGAGTGCCAGTCCGCGCCAGTCCGCGCCCTTGTCGTGCCAGTGTGCTGTGAGAGAGGCTTGTATCTTAAGAATTCTTCTTTCTCGTTCACCGCGGTTTTTATTTTTTAACAACATGCATGTGCATGTGCATGTGCATGCATGTCAGTCTCGCCAAATGAGGCCCGGTGAAGAGGCCACCCTCGCTTGAAGCGCCTCTCCAGCCTCGCTTTCGGTCTCGTGCGCGACGCTGGCCAGGCCATGTAGGTAGGTGCGCGCTGCCGCCCAATCGACGCGCTCCCACATTGGGCTAAACCCCACCTGGCTTCCTCCCGCTAAATGACGCAAGAGTTCTCTTGCACCTCGAAGCGCAGAAAGGCTGCCAACCTCCTCTCCCATCTGGCGCTTGCGTCGGGCAGCGTGGGCGCGGCATCCGGGACGGATGCGGGCCGCTGTCTCGCGGGATCGCTGGAAGCCGCTCGGCTCCCCACGCGCCGCCGAGCTGCGATGGCGCAACCGCAACGGCTGCCCCTCCTCGGCTCCCGCCCCGGGGCTGCCGAAATAGGTGCCCCGAGCCACCGTTTGCAACATCCGCGCGGATCGGCGGCGCTGCCGACGCCCCCCCGACCGGCAAACACCACCAGAAGGGCGGTGGTGAAAGCAGCACCTCTCAAATGTCGTCGTCGTCGCGCAGTTCCCTAGTGTCCGCTCGGCGGCCGGCGGCGGCCGGCGGCCAAGAATCCGGATTTTCGTCTCTCGACGCGAAGATATGGTCCCGAATCTCACTACTCGCCCCTCCATCCTGTAGGTCCGGACCTTGCCTGCTCAGTAGCCGCGATGAATCGTCGCCCTCATCGTCCGCGGTCATCCTTTCAGCCTCAAACGGGCCAAACGACTGTCTCGCCATCAGCCATCTCGCCTCTCGCGGTCGCGTCACGCCTTCCCTCGTGCCGCGAGTAGGCGCGTGAGTGATGGCCCTGCCGCCAGGTACACGGCTACACCTCGGGACGCCGTGCTGAGACGGGTAGAGCCGCCCCGCGGGAGCGAAAGCCGCCTCGCGCGCCTCAGCCCGCCGGGCCCCTCGGCGGCCAGTGTGGGGTGGATACGGCGGTGATAAACCCCTCTGACAGCAGCGCCTCACGGCGTGGGCTGCGAGGTCACTCGGGGTGACCCAGGGGGCGGCGGGGGAGCACTATCCCGCCGGAGCAGCGGGGTTATATTCTCGCTACTCGCTCGAGTTTGAGGTGCGCCGCGCCTCGCCTGTGCTGCCTTCCCGGCTGCCCCAGCCGCCCTCACCGTCCTCATCGCCTCCCCCACCCCCTCCC